CATGTTGTTTGCAGCATTCAAATCAGCCTCTTTCACGTGTTCCATTAGCAAGCCAAACATAGAGGTATTGAAGTGAAGTAAAGCAACATGCACTGGAGTGCTGTAGAGGACCAATGTGAAAAGAGACAGTAATCTGCAATAAGTTTCGCCAATGTCTCATAGATTCTACAAGGACAGTCGTGCAGTTCGTAGCTCCACCAACAGCTATTTCCAATGAATGAAACCTGCAGTGCATACCTACAGCCAAGAGGCTGCATCAAAACCAAGATTTACCTCAGAACGATGTAAGTTGTTATCAACGTCAATCTCAGCGAAGTGGAGAGAGTGCATTGGAAAACTAGCTGCAACCGTGTGTTTTTTCTCGCTGCAAACCGTTCGCATATTGGCATAACAGAACGTTACGGCGGTAGGTATCCTCTCTGTCGGTCAGGGATGAAGAGCCGCTCAAACCTAAAACAATCTTCTGCAGTTTCACGCGCCCGGTTTATCGTCATGTTTGGTCAGCCGTTTTTTCCCAGGCATTAGGTTGTTGTTAACGGGAGACTCATCTGTCTGCTAGGTGGTGGACGCACACAAATGTCCCTCAGCTTAAATAGTGGGATAAGAAAAAGCTGTCCTATGCTGTAGCTGGCCAGAACTGGATTAACTATCTACAGTCGGAAAAATACCAACACTGGTTAAGAAGAGATCCAAAGACATCAAGCGTAGCGAGAAGGAATTGTGGAGTGAGCAGATTAAAGAGGCACCCATTCGACAGCAACAGAGAGGATGTACGACTGAAACAGCCGTTTGTGGTCCGAGCTTCAAATCAATTAAAATCACTCAGGTGAGTGATTCGGACTACACCAAGCATATTAATAAATTCAGGAACAGACCAGCAGCAACAACTGGGCTGCAGCAGACTGAATGCGTGAAAAACAAAAAATTCAGGAACAGACCAGCAGCAACAACTGGGCTGCAGCAGACTGAATGCCTCTGTGAAAAACAAAACCTCTGTTCTCGTCGACAGAAGAGGTGGTACACGGAGACACACAAATAGGGAGCATGTAGGAGATCCGTTTACGCACAGTGTCTAGACTTTGGCGAACACACTTAACAGATCGACCACCATCATCCGGCAAAAAGGCGAATCTTCACAAAAATTTAGGGATACTCCGATCGCACAGTTTCACAAGGGAAAAAAGCAAGACTCAGTGTCTAGACTTTGGCGAACACACTTAACAGATCGACCACCATCATCCGGCAAAAAGGCGAATCTTCACAAAAATTTAGGGATACTCCGATCGCACAGTTTCACAAGGGAAAAGAAGCAAGACTACATCCGTCAGCTGCATAGGCATCAGCCTATTGAACTAGGCAAGCAACACTAGTCCCACCCAACCACTTGACTGCTGAAGTACAGGAAAACAATGTCGCCTACACGTCGACCGCGAAGTCTTCCAAAGTCTCAATGGCATATGCACTTTTTACGGGCTTCACGAATTCAGGTACTGTGGACAGTTCTTCATGAGTAGGACTGTTCTGCGGAATTCATCAATCTTACTTCATGCCTAAAGAATGCAATCAAAGCAATTTAGGAATCGATTTCAAGTGGCTACTAAAGCCTCACAATCACAACGCGGGAGTGTGTATTTACTAATACTCCCACCAGGCCACATCGAGTGACCACAACGAAAGCCGATTTAGTACAGGACAATGCCTACATGTGGTTTGAATATCGGCTCGACGGATGTTTACTCTCGCCAGACGTTTCCGTGCAAGAAGTGATAACAGAATGATACTAGAATCCGCATTTACATGTCTGAGGGAGTGCACTGATTGCGCACAAGCAAGGAGTCCTTAGGATAAACGCTTCCTGTTTCATTCAGAAAGCAAGAACAGGATGGCTGTACAAATTCACGTGAGCAACAACGACCAGACACTTCTTGATGGACTCTGAAGCTTTATCATTTGGGGGGACGTGGTGTAACGAAAAACGATACCCGACATTGACCGTCCCACTGGTCGTTCGAATTTAGGGACTGAAAGTAGCACCAGTGTGTGATTTATGCTAGTGGATATGTGAAATGGCCATAACAGAATTATGCGACTGCAGTCTAAAACTAGAGAAAAAAACATGGAAATGTAAAAGCGAAAGACGAAGAGAGAAATCAAAGTCCGTGTTGGGAATAGTCATACAGAATGACAATATATAATAAACGTTCAGCTGTAACACACTTCCGATGCATAGCTGCCCTGTCATCCGGAGGAGAAACGAGGGCTGAGATAATACCAGATTGCCCAAACCTAGATAGGAGCAGTCGATATGCAGGGGTTGGGTTACAACTTAGAGATTACGGTCAGTTAATTTGCCCTCTAACCATTGAGCTATGCAGCAGCAAGTGAGCTTACGAGGCTGCCGCTGTAACCAGTTGACAGGAGGCCGACTAGTTCAGAAAGGCGGCCCCAGACACAGAGAACGACCTGTGAAGTCTTCAAGAGAACAAGACTGACACTGAGCAGAGTCACCCTTATGATCGTCAATTTCCTTTACACTGCATAAACACCCAACTCCACGGAAGACGGAGGTTACAGTGACCCAGAGTACCCTACCCCATTGACCTTGGAATACCGGAAGCGAAAATACAACACAAATGTTCACTCGACAGCCACGGCTAAAAACTGATCTCGTGCGAAAAAAACAAGTTTTGACAAACTCAATATGACGTTCTTTTCACCGAAGAATAAAGGACAAACCAATCAATGCACAGGATGAGTGAAACGTCGTTAGTGGCCAAAACATCAAACAAGGATGCTACAAAATAGACGTACTTTCCATTAGCATCAGCTACAAATGCATTGCCGTCCTTGCTTAGAAGGGATTGTGCCAAACCGAGATGTTCCGAATGTTTCTTATCTTCTGGACTTTTTTGACACAATGCATGCAATAACGTCCTGTTAGCAGGTTCCACAACCGAGTCCACCTAATAGGGAGAACAATTGGGGAAGCGCTCACTAAAAAGATCAGTCCAACGAATCACCAGATGAATTACTTTATGTGCTCCCTACTAACCTGGTCGCTGGTCAACACCATAAGCATGAATTTGTCTTCACATGATTCCTGAAACTTGTCTAATGCCAAAGACTATCAGTGCTAACACGCTGGATCTGTAGAAAGCATTTGGCTCGGTCGACGCGAAAAGTGGACGGATAATCTTGATCAGGCATTCAAGTATAGATTGCAGACAAGAAAAAGGAAACACGACGTCAGAAGTCGAATCCTTGACCTCCCAACTTCCAGTTGAGTGCTCAACTAGCAACGGCCCATATAACACACAGAAACTTTGCCTCCAAGTTTAAATCTGATTTACCAACAGTCAAGTACCTTCAGCGACAATGCGTAACTATCACAAAGCGGCAGGCGTTGAAACCGCACAAGAAACACCGTTCCGGATGGCTGCAGAGTCACTGACTATTGAATATTGATACAGGGATGTGGCGAATTAGAATTGAAATCCAAACGAGTGTGATGTACGGTATCCTACAGAACACCAATCCTGCAAGTAACAGTTCACGTGCTCAGCTCCCATCCGAGGCACTTGTATTTTTGTCTCATTGCAGGCTCACCTTCACGAAAGACCTAACCTACATCAGCTACACAGCTAAAAATTGGCAGAGAAAGAGCGTAGAACCACAGCAGACAATATTGGCAAATAAGCTGCCCTACGTTCGTTCAAAGGACAGTGGAATAATGCATCTGAGAAGACAGAAAAACGGAGGGTAACAAACTGCGGGGAATATGGGAAGGGACGTCGCTGAGTTTGACTAGTTAATCGAGCCACGGTTAGCCAATTTACTTAATAACCACCAGAGAGTTAACGTTCTTCGGATTTTTGAAGAGGTTAGTTAAATTCAGTTATGGATTGTCAGTATGTCGAGCAACAGAATGGACACTGAAAACGCCGTTCTTATTTGGTGGAGGCAGGTTTGTGAACCTGTCAACTAACCCATAGGGTGATAAAGATTTCGGAGACGAATTTCCGAGAATGTTAGAGTCTATCGTCGAAGACACAGACCAACATATCAGCCATGTGAAGCGCAATATTTGGTACAGTGACCTACTCCAAGCCACCAAAGCTTTTTAGAATGTTCAGCTGCAGTCACCGATGAACTCACTATAATATGGGCATTCGGTTTTCTTTCTAAACCCACCCAAGTGAATAGGTTTGGCAGTGTTATCAATGCATGCCTAACGTCACCCCTGTCGAAATGAAGGAATTGAAACATTTTGTGAGCTAATACAAAAGGACAGTAAAGCCACAACACAACTGAAACACGAACGGGGATGAGTGATAAGTGAGAACCAAACAGGGAACCATACGAGGGTTTCAAATGACCGTGGAGGGGGCAGTTCCGATAAGGAAGTAGAAGGGAAAACACTTACGTGGTCTGCTGCGACAGGGAACCATACGAGGGTTTCAAATGACCGTGGAGAATCAGTTCCGATAAGGAAGTAGAAGGGGAAACACTTACGTGTGTAAGCTGCGACGGGCGTTGCTGCAGATGGGGGAACGTGTGGTCAGATCATGTTGTTACGCGATGCTGTATGACTATGAAAATTATATGCCATTCAGTAAAAAAAAGGTTCCAACCGGATCAGCCGAATCAGTAAAAGGATGAAAACCCTAAACAATGACGGTGACGAAGTTGGCGGGCATGCGCAATACCAGATCGCCCCTGGGTAAAGTTAATATCAACAGAAACCCGCCGAGCAAATGAAAACAAGTAAACCGTGGGCAAAATATCACGAGACATAAAGAGTGGACTGACGGAGCGATGTAGGACGTCTGTCCACAGAGCCCTAATTAGGAGCCACTAATTAGCGCTCAACATAGAAAGCACGTCGAAAAATAAAGCAAGAATGTGAATAACCGATGTTGATCTTGTAGACTATTTCGAATGGGGTTGATAGCCACTTTGACGCCAGCAACATACTCTCTGTAGGGGCCAATTAATGACATGGTTTCGACAACGGTCAATACCCCGCATCACTAACGTCAAGTATGTGAGAGCCACTGAGTTATCAAGGAACGTGAAATCGCAAACGATATTTGGGCGGGTCCTGTAAATAAACAGCGAGCACATGCATCGATCGTCAGGATGAATATTGTTAAGCCCAGTTATTCCATGTTTGACAGTAAGCAACTTCGTGTCCGACTAACTCCTTCTTACTTTGATAATGGGGATACAAATGAAGTGTGCCGTGTTTAGAGAGTGAACGCAGCTTACAATGACCCCTTAACCCATAGATATTTGCTCTTTTATAACACTCACTATCGTGACGTGTCCTTATCAGATAGCTACGGACAGGATTGGACTTTGCCGAAGTGCGAAGTTTAGAACAAGCACGATGATCCGAAAAACAAGTGAGCACCAGCTTAAAAGCGATTTTATTCAACAGTTGCTTAATTCAGTAACGACATAATTTGTAAGACGCACTTCCTCACCAAGAACACAGGTGTCTTCACCCACCTGTCAAATGCGGATGCGGATAACACGGAATTCATAACCAATCTCGGGATTGCAAACCGCTCTACAAAACGAACAAAGCACGTCGCACGATTATGACAGTCCGTAGATCATGAATTTAAGAGGATTATGCTCTGCACCTATCGTGAGAGTGAAACCCACACCCAGGGCTGAAGAGCACGCGTTGACAACTGAAACACTTTCTAACGTGACCACGTGATGTGGTTTCCGGACACGAAGGACGAGTGATATTACGCCTTGTGTAAATCAGCGCTAAGCACACGCATGCTAACCACTCATGGCCAACGGCTAAGTGTTCAGTCACTGACTGAAAAATCGCGGGTTCCAAACTCTCCGAGTTTAGTTAGATGTGCACTGATGATGATTAACAACAAGGACGAAACAGCTGCGCAGTGCTCTTCGATTTTTCCTCATAGATTGATACCACTGACAGGACGAAACCTTTATTGAAAATTACGTGCGAATATCGTCATCGTCATCTTCATCAATGACGCTTCACTGTCGTGCAACCGCAAGATTTATCTGATTATTTTTAAAGCTACAAGATGATGGAAGGAAACAGTGGGAGTGAAATGGAACAAAGATTTAGCTTGACTCAGCTAATTGGTTCTCCTTCCTCCCTAAATCTCGACTAACCTCGGAACCTAATCACTTGGCCTGACGAAGCTTTTATGTCAAAAGCGAAACGTTGTCCAGCAATAAATCTACCGATGGTCACCAAACTTCTCCGGACACGATGAAATGAAACTTAACCAGGTAACTGCATCTCCAAACGCTCAGACAGTCTGGAAAAGGAACTAACAGCACTAACATCACTGACATCGATTAGCCGCCTATCATGTAACGATTGCAGGGAACATCACGTGGAAGGCGGGTAGCACCAAAAAGATACATGCCACATGCCATCCACTCCGCAGTTTGCGCTATTCTGAAATAGGAATGAAAACAACACCTTTCTTGGCAAGCAAAAACCTGGTGCCCGTGACCGAGCCACCTCAGTTAGTGTTTATCCATGGCTGAAATATCTATTGCACAGCCAAACAGTTGTATTCTAACTAAATCGTTAAGAATATTTCGACTTCATCCGACACAAGCAAAGCGTGTGCCAGGAGTGAAAAAAATGGACAAACCGCAGACGATCTGTTGGCAGTGACCACCTCTCATGACCATACAGCAAAACAGCATGTACTATCGCCTGGAGATGTGACCCTTGAGACCAAGTGATGCTATTTGACGTCATTTTGATGCCATTTTGACGCCACGAATGACACCAACCGGCAAACTTGATTCAGACCTTGAAAATTCGTGCATCTATTAGATAGAACACTCAGCAGAACTCATATGACGACCGAGGTGTGCACAACTCCCTGCGTCTTTCACTGCGCCTCTTTCGATTGCAAGAAGCATGTTCAAAGGCCTCAAGACCTTGCACCTTGTGAGTACAGGGCGCACGCTGAAAGACATGAAGGTGGTTCGTTTATCTAATAGAGTTTGTGCTATTTGTCGTCTTCAAAGACATACTCAACTTCAACTAGATTCCCATAAGAACACTTTGCAGCGCCTACCGCATTATTTTATCGATTTTAAAATGCACACCTTTGCTGGGCAACATTTCTCGTGAAAAAGCCTCTATAGTGGTCCCATCCCAATTCTGCCGATATTATGAAGCGTGTGAATATAAGAAGCGGACTGTGTTCAGGAACTTCTGAAGAATCCTGGTGGGTGAGTGTGGTGAGAAGAACTGACCGAGCGACAAAATCGAACACATCATTGAAGCAAACAAAAAGAGTGTGGATGGGCCACTACCCTACGACTCGATGGAGTCTAAGTGTGATCGACGCAGTTCCAACCCCATGGAAGCCCCCTTGATGGTCACGGGCCAAAGTTTCGCGTGCCGCAGCATCGGTGATTCTAGCAGCCTCTTTACACGGGAAACCAGAGCAACACATTTGAGGTTACGAATATGGGCACCATCAACGACTGACTCCAGATGTCTAGGACAGCCTCTTTTTTTCCCAGATAGACACACAGGCTAAACACTCAATTCCCAGTCCATTTTTCCGCTACTGGTCGGTAGTCCGAACGGGAATTAGTGGATGGTCGACTGAATTGGTGTTCGACATGTTCTACTCAGTGTTCCAAACGTCCTTCCTTATGGGAAAACTGTGGTCTGTGATCGTTCCACTGAGAAGAGGCTCCAGACCTTGCGCGTGGAACAACTTACAGATATTCTCAGCGTTCTTCGCTCCCTCCATTTTCCCAACTTCTGAATCCACCGGGTTAGACAGAAATTTAGTTATACCGGTGGTCAGATGATACAGAGTTGGAATGTGGGCGCAACCGAAAAGAATTAGCCTACCGGTCTCCAGGAAAACCACCATCTCATCCGAGATACAATGTTCGAAAGACGCATACATTGTCAAACGAATAGTAGAGAGATGACCACCGTTCGTTGAGACGTAAAACACTTTCGGTGTCTAGCTGCCATGTCACCCGAAGGAAGCACTGATCTATATCGCCACCACCAACACAATAGCCACCCCGCCACATGCAGAGGCCTCCGTGCCATCGCATACCTACAGACACAGGCAGGTAGAAATTGACAGTGTAGTCACTTTAATTACAATGCATATGTCCTGGATACTCGTTCCTGACAGACAGCATACAAAAATGCGAATGGAACCCACAACAACAAGACAAAATTGTCGTCCTGCTTGTTTTCGTTATTCGAACGTTAAAGGTAGCTTAGACAGGCTTCCGGTGCTCTGAAATTGAATCAAGATGTCTGAGGCAGCAGCTGGTGCTGAAGATGGAGGCGCAGAGGTTGCCCGTAACCCAGTAGTCTCTAAGTTTCCTGAAAAACCAGGCATTTCAAGACAGAGTCATCATATGAGGGTAGTGGCTACTTACTTGAAACCCATGACCGATCAGGAACTGGACTGCTTCGAGTTCATTGTGCATCAGAGCGTAATGCGCCGTTGGCATCCGTTCATTTTCCCCGATTTATTCCCAAATGAGCGTGAAGCTCAGCAATGAGTGTGCTAGCAAAAGCTTAATCAGGAACGAAGAAACAAAACGAACAACAACCGATTAGCAGCCTACTATCTGTGTGATAGCAACCGAAAATAACGTGAAAACCGAGTTGCTACTTAACACTTCGCTGGCATGAAGCGCACAGCAAACCGTAAGGCAAAATGATTGAATGATTGAAAGAGTGGTGCTGTAACATTCTTCGGTGCCAACACACGATGCCAACCGAAGGAAACACGAGGGCTGAGCTAGTGCGAGGTTTTACGGGTCTAGAAAGAACAGCAGAGACGGTGAGTTGTGTTTGAGCCAGGAACCTTGATCATTGACCTATTTCGAATAAACAGCTTGCCGTCTCGGCGGGTTAGGTTGGTCAGAATCATCATCGTCATCATCATCGACATGACATCAGTGTTCAACACTGGTACTTCGCTGCCATACAACCATGATTTATTCAAAATCCTTATTTAGAAGAATAAAAGTGGACGGGGAACGGACTCATTGCTAGCTTACTACAATCATTCGAATGCGCCTTGGAAAAACAGAAACACTAAAATCGTCGGTCGTTAGTATGCATGATGTTTCTTTCTAGCACCTGACGGAGTGTGGATATTTGGGCAACGCCACTCTACCAGCCTATGATCTTGATTTCTGATATCGAGTCAGTGTTTCACGAGCCACCATAAGGCGAAGAAGGACAAGTGACGACAACAGCCTCGTTACGACCGGGGACAAGCTGATCCCCCTGTGGTTACCACACTCATTACGAGCCTGTTTTGAAACTGGGAAGTATCACCGATTGCTGACTGAAGGCTTCACCCCCATCTTTGAACAATGCGGGTGGGAGATCACCCGGACCAGAAGCTTGGTGGCGTTTGAGAGGACATATGCAGTCATTAACATCCGAGGCTGTAGGGAGTCCCGTGTTTACCGTCCAGGCTTCCACACCAGCTACAAGCCCCAGATGAGTGGCAGCTGGTGGTCACGATAGTTGCTGTTCGAACTATTCGACCCACTGGTCGAGGTGCTCTCCTTTATTCAAGCTGGTCGTTCCATTCCGATCCTTGATGGTTTCGCTCACAGGTGGTCCCCGGGGATCAATCGCACGGATCAACTTAAATAAAATTCGGGCATTCCCGGTTTTCTGAGCCTCTCTCATTACCTTGGCTTTCCGAATCTACCAAAGGTCACCGTCAGTTTCGCTCACAGGTGGTCCCCGGGGATCAGTCGCACGGATCAACTTAAATAATCCTTGGGCATTCCCGGTTTTCTGAGCCTCTATCATTACCTTGGCTTTCCGAATCCACCAAACATCACGGTCGGCTTTCACGCTCACTTTAACTTGACGTCTGATAAGTCGTCGGGCCAAGTTATGCTCAGCACCAGCCGGGATGTTCCTCCGAGATTTAAGCCCCTGTTCGGGGTGATATCCAGTGTTTGAGTGGGCCTGGTAGCGGTATGCCACAGTCCCAGAACTGTGGAAAGAGGTGGCGATCTCGCTTCACCACGTTTAATAGTGGAGTAGTTGGAAGGACTCTAGAAGACGACTCCCGTAAGTCTATCTAACATCTACCAGTCTCAGTTGTTAAACGATTTGTCCGCACCTTACGCGGTCCTACAAAACGAAGGGAGAAGGGACTCTGGACGAACGTGCGGTTGGAATCTACAGATGTGTCCCAAAACGAGCGGCAGTCATTTGTTGATCCGCGCCATCGTGATAGCAGTGTGAACAATTTGAGTTCGTGGCCGGCACGGCGCTGGAGAACACCATGTGGCCAGACGACTTGTGCTATTTCGGAAGCCACTACTGCATAAAAACAGTCTGTGGTCAGCACATTGCTGAAGCAATCGATTACCATTGTTTTGAACCCAAGCCTCCGGATCAAGAGCCTGACTACAAGACAGAGGTGTTTGTCGTGAAGTTCAAGTGGATTTCGATTTTCATGGAACAAGTCGCAATACGTGTACAACCTCTGATTTGGATGACCAAGAGACTGTGTTCGTCAGACTTCTAGCCATTGGCCAATCTGGTATGAGAGACTTTGCGAGACCCGCACGGGTGCAACCCTGTATAACTCAATGGATCGAGGAGTTATAGCAAACCGTTACACCACGGTAAGGTCTGGTCACTTCGTGACGAAAAATAAGTAAATCATTAGGGCGAGGGGAAGCCGCATCTCCAAACATATGCCAACTTATTAAGCCTAGCAGTGTCCATGCTGGCAGCACATCCTGTCACTCTCAATGTGGACTGGCCGTCGACGGAAGCGAGCACATCGAGAACTCGTAATAGAGTCCAGAATGGATATTGAGAATTGTTTTTGGTACACAGGATCGCTAACATTAATAAGATCAAACCTCTCACAACGGACAAATTGGAGTCGACTGGTCGAGTTATATATATATANTCTTCGGTCTATTTCGCCATCAGCAAACAAGGCCAGCGACCGAGCCCAGGGCTTCAAGCGGCAAAATTCAGTCGTTTGGGCACCTTAGAACAGCATAAAAAATTAAAACCTATATCTGGCCTAAAAGTATGTAAATTGTGTGCCCGCTAAAAGCAGCATGGTGAACTCATCTTTCAACATCGCACGGCGATTGACATTCCTCGATAAATTCGGAGAACTAAATAGAAATGGTTTCACGGAAGAATGGGGTCGAAAAATACAACTATGTCCTCGAATAAATGGGACAATGCAGTAGCGCTAGGTAGTCAAAAACAATAGATCAAACTAAGTTAAGATCGGATTATAATGGGCAATAAACTTAAAGGATAATCGGGCAAATGAACTGAAAAGTAAAGGGTTGTATTTTCACTCACATCAACCGGATTCTCTTCAAGAATCAACAGGGCCACGTCATCGCGTTCGAGCTCGATCGAACGATGGAGAGGAAATCGCGTTTTCTTTTCTAACAGTGACAGTAAAGCCTTAGATGACAACGTGCTCAGCTCTTGTTTCGATACGCAATCCTAGCTATAAGGATGGTAAAACAAGGTCATACTTACCCACGATGACGATAATAGAGAAAAACAATGTTCCAGCAGTACGAGGGCTTTTGATACAAAAGCCGCCTCATAGAGAAGAACACAGTTATCCCGCCTGAGCATGAAGGATAGCATCATTTCGCATCTAAACTATAGGCCTTAAAACACGAATCTTACTGGCTGACCAAGTCGGTGAGCTCGTGCTTCCTCGCCAAAACAATAAGTTCGGATAGAGCTTTCGCATCATCAGTTGGCAGAAGTTCACCCGTATAAAGCCAACTAAGAAGAGCTTCGCATGCGGCTTGATTGTTGCCTGGAGCAATCAGAAGTGTAAATCACACCTACTGTCGATCTTCGTGACTGTACAATCGCCGTCCGTTACGAATTCCCACTTGCCACCACGGGCACTTATCACAAACTGATGACCCGGGAGTACTTTGTCCGCAGTTTGCACCAGTATATCACTATAAATATGCTAAAATGCGCGAAATAGTACCTCAATTTTTCACTTCCCTGTAGCGTTTTTACAAACTCAATTATGTTCGAGCAGAATGTGTGTGAGCGCCTGCCAAGTGCAGCCATCAAAACATTGTTTTCCTTTTGTAGCTCATTTACACGTCGGGTGAGACGGTTAAGCTCTGTGGTCAAAAATTCTGTCTGACTATCCATTTATGCGATAGCCTAAAAAGGGAAAATGCTTGAGCAATGAGGGTCATCCTTTAGAATGCGATAACGGTAGCCAACTAGAGAACAAAGGGAAAACAAGCGTGATTTGCATTTATGCAGAGCACTGAATTACCTTGGTCAGTAATTTGTTCGCTGAGTTGAGGACGTATTGTAGTTGATCGAAGCGGTACCACGATGTCGCACAAAATGTTTGCAATCCAGGAGAACTGAATGGCGCGCGAGGTGAAAGGGTCATCCTTTAGAATGCGATAACGGTAGCCAACTAGAGAACAAAGGGAAAACAAGCGTGATTTGCATTTATGCAGAGCACTGAATTACCTTGGTCAGTAATTTGTTCGCTGAGTTGAGGACGTATTGTAGTTGATCGAAGCGGTACCACGATGTCGCACAAAATGTTTGCAATCCAGGAGAACTGAATGGCGCGAACCGCGAGGTGAACAACGTGTGATTTGGCAAATGGGTGTGAAAGGTACATGAAGTGAGTGCCCATACCATGAAAGTGAAAGGATGGAGTATGTCACTGGCTGGCTACTGCGACACCCAACCCTGACACTTGGGACGCACACCCGAGAGCAGCAAACAGGATGGTGGTACATTGATTACATTTCCAACTTACTTCGAATGCTTCAGCAGGGCTATACATACTCACTGCTAACACTTGCAGTTTCCCTTGAAGTTGAAAGAGCCTTCGACTACGCGGAAGTCAGCTCTTTTACACATGCCTTGTTAAACAGGAATGCTTCTTCTCGCAAAAGGTCGCTTGGTCCTTTGTTTAGGTATGTATTACAAGCCCTCAAAGTGCTCCCCAGCGTCAATCGTCTTCCTACCTCTTTTGAAAAAATGAGGAAAGGTTATTGAGTTTGGTGACCGAACAGGCCACGACTGTTTAGTGACAGAAGCCCATGTATGCATTACCAAAGCGCGAAAGATGCTTGCGAAATTGCATCATTTGTGGTCTCAGAAAATGATTTCATTGAAGCTGAAGGACCCTTTGTACAAGGTGACGGTAGGGCATTCTTATCCAATGGCTATAAAACTTGGTCAATCCTAACTAGCCACTTCTTCCCTTCTAAGTCCTCTGCATGAACCGTATAAGGCAGTGAAAACGTATCCCTCTTCCGTCCCTAAACAGGGTAGAGGAACAATCCTGACCAGATGCATCATCTCTCTTGTAAAGCGTCAATTGCTTGCGAACTTTATCTTCCCTTAGGCCTGAGAAATCTGTCTCCCAATGGAAGCAAACGTACTGTTTGCTGTCAACTTGTGTTCACGAGTCGAAGGATAGTAGAAGTGATCGGCCTGGATGCTCCGGTGGTTGCGGTCCGTGGTTGCCCAAACCTAGACAAGAGCGGATTTGGGCCGGGGGTGGGGTCNTCAACTTGTGTTCACGAGTCGAAGGATAGTAGAAGTGATCGGCCTGGATGCTCCGGTGGTTGCGGTCCGTGGTTGCCCAAACCTAGACAAGAGCGGTTTTGTGCAGAGGTTGAGTTCGGATTTCTGGAGCTTCTGGTTGGTGAGTTCACACCACTGAGCTATTTCGAGCTTATAAGCGTGGCTAATTTCAATGCTATGAACTAGGTGTGGCAGGTCACGAGATTTTCAGGCCTTACTACTAAACGACTTTCGGCAAACGGCGAACACACCAATGGTCAAAAACTCTCGCGGATATGCCCACTTGGTAGTCACCTTTCACAGAAGTGTATTAGGCCTGGATGGACAACTCCATCCCCTTTTGCAAACTGCCCATACATACTTGCACTCATCCATCCAATTCGGTACTACTTGCGTATTCCTGACTGAGGCCTACGTGAACTTCCTTGCAGGTAGTTGGAAACCCTGAAAGACAGCAAGCAACTGATCCTAAGGCGCGCGCACTGTCATCCCCTATCTAGGCCGCCTAGTTCATGTTTACCTGTCGTTATGCTATGAGCTTACGTCAGTTGAGGTCTACAAAGGACGATGGATTGATCCCACTGATGGGGCCGCATTTCAGCATGATGCTCAGATGTTTGTTTTATTACTTTCCAAAAGCGCAGTAGTTCGAGTCAGGGTAGTGTAGGAGGATAAGTGCAGCACCCAAGCACGACCACCACAGCAAGGTAGCGGCTTTTGGTAGGAGGAATCTGACCGCAGCTACAAATTGCGACCCTGAGAAACCTCAATATTATTGACAGCGATGTCTGTAAAACGTACTGATGCCTATCTGCCATGCAAATATGACATAAAACATCAAATACTGAAAAGCGGAAAATCTAGGACTCCGTTTGAAGAAAAGTGAAGTGTCTACGTCTTTAAAAAAATTGAATTAATCTTTAAAAGGCGAAGACACCCTATACCGCGGGCTACATCAACTCGAACTCCGTCCCACAATGTGCAACCGTGTCCGGAGGCTAGCCGCTCCTAATAACCGAACATCACGTGATGTTCGATTGACGTACGTCAATCGGACGGATATATTAAGTGCGCGCTGAACTAAACGAAGACATGCACTGGTGAGCCAGAATGTCAGCCAATTTGGGTCGAGCATTCATAGCTTGACGCTCCTAGCCCCTTCAAGAATATTGCACCGACCTTTTGGAACGCTCTGTGATCACCCCACAAGTAGGCTTGTAATAATCTTGCTTTGTCTCCATAAAGGGCTCTCTGAATCTACCGTAAGTTTTGATATACCATAGTGGGTAGAGCAGAAAGCCAAGAACCGTCAGAGTTGTGTAACCTGTCAGAAGACACGACTGGCGACAACCCGAACGCATAATGTCAAGTTCGGTACAGCTACTCCAAGTAATTTTACAGCTGCAACAGAAACAGTCCAAAGGTGTTTAAATGAGGCTTCATCACTCCCTGATGCGCAGTATGTCGGAGAATGAGACAAAAACAATTAGGCCTCCGTTTTATTCCACAGATTCTGCTGCCAGCTGGGGTACTACCGGGTTGCCCAAGTTTAGACAGAGGAAGTCGACATGCAGAGTACCAACTGACACAACATCAACACAGGGTAGGTCTCGGTTCCCATCGTTGATTCTTCTATGTCATAGCTGAAGCACGACTGCTTATTCGTGGTTTTGAGTTTCTGTCAGCGTAATCTAGAACCCAGATCGTCTACCGGCCGGCAGGAGATAAGCCCCACCCACGAACAACCGAGCAATTATGTAGTATGTATGCTACGGTAGCAACAGGGGGACAGAGATTCTCCAAATGTAGAGTTTGAAAACGACTCCTGTGGATAAGGAGCAGAAAAAAAGCTCATGAGACGAAGCCCAGTAAGCAAGGTTGCACACCACCAATACTTACATATAAATCAATCAAACTGGCAAGCACCGTGTACTGAACCTAGGCACCTCAACGGCCGCAGGCATTATTCGCAGACGCCGATCACGCATCAGGACGAGCTCCGATTCGTCGAAAGGATGGACCCAACAGCCAATCGGATTCTAGTGCCTGCGAGCCGCCAGTCCAGTAAGTGTTCTAATATCTAAAAGGTCGTTCCTGGAAGACTCAAAAACTTTTTTGACCCTGAAACAAACCTTCACACAGAAATATAATATATGTTTTCTTTAAAAAAAATTAAGTTATCCTAAATAAAGTGCAAATTTATCTAGATCACTTATTTCTACTATCTCCCAGCTTTACTCGCGCTTATTCAGGTTCGCAAAATACGAGATTGTTGGGGTAACTAGTGATGTTCCTTTGTGTAAGCAGAATCACTTTGCAGTCGACGAAAGATGTGTCTGAAACTATGTCGTACTTTCGTTCAGAGAGCTGATCAGCGGTGCAGGACAGAGAGGGGTAATCCTATGGGGTTCCCTCACTTTCCTCTCGACCGTTTTTGATTTACTTCATGCAGCGCAACGGTTCCAGTGGCTACCGGTAAAAACAAGTTCAGTGACTTCTCACAGCTGCATGACATTCTTCGTGTATTTATCAGGTCTGCGTCATGTGGTTCATGTTCCAGTGGAAATATTACAGGAGACCCCCGGAGCCTGGAAACGTCTTTGATTCTTGGAGCCGCAGCAGCGGGACCTGCCGTAATGTTAATTTTCTATATGTCAAAATGACACAGGTGCGAGCGAATCGTTTTGGCCTGTTATCGACGGACATTTTGAAGGATTTCGGGTCCAAAATTGATTCTTGAAGGGTCACCTGAAACGTTAATGATTGCTTGCACTTTCAAGCTACCCATTCTTTACCCACTGAAATCTCCAGCGCTTTTTATGTTTCTACTTGTAAACTCCACTCCATTTCTGTGCTTAAAGCAAGCTTGCAGACTGCATTTGTCTGTACTTACCACTTCACTCATTTGACTTTGAGATCATCCGGCCATTTTGTGACCTACTCTATGCACGTGGGATTGTCTAACACGGGGATAGCTCAGTTAGTTTGTACCCTGAAAGTCCAAGTGGACCATTTATTGTGAACGAGTATCTACTATCGAGGTTTGTGTTTTGTGAGTCGATGTCCTACGTTATTAACATCGTATATAAACCCAGCTCTGACTTTGTTTTGCCTTCCAGGAGGTTCTGGCATTGCGCATTATTTGAATATACCGGTAGGCTGTTACAGATAGTTCACTCGGTTTCCCGCAAAATTTCGAGCCTCGTTTATTACACCGCGCTCATCGGGGTACTGCTTTCAATCTTTAATTCCCCACTCCTGTTTAGGATATACAAGGACACACTTCGCATGTACCAACTAACCGCTTCACAAAGAAATGTATCCCAACCTACAGTAAAACAGTATGAGGCACCACATCACCTTCTTTACCGCCTCTAAAAGTGTGATCGATTCCAACATTTCATCACCCATACCTTCGGTCAGCACACGGGAGCCTACCTTCAAGGAAGGGGACATGCCCTATATGTATCATCTCGTTGCGGTAAATTCTACAATGCCAATGACTTCTTGGTGTGTTGTCTTCCTTCACATAACCCGCTCTACTTTTTTTATCTGGTCCATTTACCGTGATTTTTCAACAGCATTCTTCAGCAGCTTCAAGGTAACACAAGTCATTACAACCCGGTGCAATTTATGGATAGCTTCCCTATTTCTGATGCTACTGCCAGGTTATTGATACTGATATAACTCGAAATTCGGTAACTTGATTCTCTTCTGTACTTTCCGTGCATGAAGTTATCAACATCCCTTCTTGTGTGGTGTTTATATCCTCTTTTATCCACTTTTTTAACCTGAAAACGAGCACCACCTCGGCCACGGCATCACGCCTGTGGTTCAATACAGTCATGTGGGCTTCATTATTTTTAGGTCAACTAGTCTTGATTCTGGGTAAATGTGATGAACATGACTGATACTGTGTTCATTGCTCTATCCATTATTCTCTTGTTCAAATATTCCGTATACTGTACATATAGGTCGATTCGAATACATACGTACGCTGATCTGAATGCCGGATTTCTAGTCCGCCTGGTTATACCGATATACGTACGACACTAAATTTTCACATTTTGGCATCGCGATTGGAACAATTCATTATGCCTGACGAAATGAAACCATTAGATGTTAATTCAGCTGCGCGTGACGCAGATGATTATTTGGAACGGTTCGACATATGATGCCTTACAAAATCCGATATGGATGATAAGAAACTCACTGCATATTTCCTACATTTAGTTGGCAAGTGGGCGTATACGTTGATCAAAAATTTAGTGTATCCTGAATCTCCAATCGATAATTCCTGCACTGCATTGAAGAAAAAAGTTCTTCAACACTTCAAGCCGATTAACATTGTAGCAGCCGAAAGGGCTAGGTTCACTATGTTGAGCCGCTATCATTCTCAGTCGCGTCGTGATTTCGTATTGTAGCTGCAGACACAGGCAGACAAATCCAAACATAGCAAACACGCCCTTCCCTCTTGTCAGCTAGAGCGAGCGTATGCACAAAATGCCAACAGCTTATGATTTCCTGATTACGAGCAGTCACAGCTTGCACTTGATGGCTGTTCTTTGCCATACACCATTCGTTTTCCGGAGTTGACAGCATTGACTCAGCGACAGGTGACCCTTAATCTTACTTTTCTGTTAGGTTGATATTGTAATACCCAGTTAAGCTTTCTTTGCCATACACCATTCGTTTTCCGGATTTGACAGCATTGACTCAGCGACTGGTGACCCTTAATCTTACTTTTGTGTTAGGTTGATATAGTAATACCAAGTTAAGCTACTAGTCTTATCAATTATCTGGGAAGCTGTTGCTTGTCCGCTTTTTACATGTCCACTGTCACTGCTCGCATTAACCCCTCTTTCTGCACAACAAGGGCGCGATGTCACGACGCTTTGGTGAGCAAAAGATACCGTCCGTTCTTAACTAGTCCAACAGCTAGCTACCTCGACGACAAATTTTCCACCTTTATAAAACTAGGCACCTACTCTGGCCCAACTAGTACTTGGCTTCTAGATCAGATAACGTATTCACCTTTCTTGGGTCCATTTAGCTTGCTTTCATCCATTTTTAGATTTTTTCTATCGACGCTGTTGTACCTTATGCCTGCTAACACCCGCCACGCGCTACTGCTTTCATTCTATTTCTTTCTCGTCGCCCCTTTTCCCGAGCTTCAATCCTCGACTGCAGTCGCCCAAACACCCCTTATAGCTGTTATTCGTTCAAACTGGCTGGTGTCCGGTCTACACTCACACGGTCCTCCAACAAAAGGGAAATTATCAGTGAGCCTACATCTGCATGACTCACTGCGTAAATCTCCGTCTCACCCACAACCATGTGTCACAGAACTGCGTATCCCTTCTCCGACCCGTGACGACCGTTACGGGGCTGTCCATAAACCGAAGCATGTCAGTGCGATGACGGCATGGCACTGTCATACCCAGTGAGATGGCACTTGCGCAACTATTTTCTCCAGAATCTTGACCGCAACCCCTCGCACACCCAAGCCTGAATCCACAACTTTGAGCAGTCTCCATTCAGCTCTGTCTCTGGGACGAGCTCTAACGTACCCAATAAATTTCCGCTCAGATTTGGCTAGCCTTACTTTTCTGCTGCAATTTTAGGCTTGCCTCCTTCACAAGTCCAAATCCGTATACGGAATTCGGGTCGCCATATATAGTGGCAACGCGCGCCCATCCAACCTTTTCCCTGCACCTGACTTCCCTACAACAGTGCAACCAGTGAGTCTGCTTACTTTCAGATTAAACTACATTTTTGAGGCAAAACTTGCCATGGGCTCCCAAGTTGAATTATCCCACTTCCATCTCCACTTTTGTTCGTTGTGACTCCCGCCATTTACTTAACCGCCCAAGGTCATTCATGGCCAGCAATGGCTTTCAGTTTTAGTTCGTGCCACCTAGCTGTCTTTGAACAAGTCGGACCTCATGCTCATTGTTCTCAACAAGTTGGGATATAACCTATTATTACTTTATGATTGGATATCCCCACTGTTCATGACATTGTGCTCCTTTTGTGCAATCCGCACCCATCACGAATCCTCCAGTCATACTCCATTGTGACTAAAATTATGATCATGCCGGACGGTATGCCGCCCACAAGTTAAGAATTAACATAATAATTATTATTATCAAGTACAAAAACTGAGCTGTTACCACTATTAGGGTGGTGCCACTAATTCATAAATGAGGCACTATGGGGAGTAGAAATGTGATTAGTAGTCTGACGATCAATGACAATCTAAGCCTGCAGATGTAAGCCATTACGGCACCAGAGGCGGAAAATACATTATAAGACGCAGAGGCGTGATGTGGTTTGGGATGGCAAACTCAAGAGCCAATGAGAGCAGAACTTCCTTGATGACTGTCTAGTCATTAGTTGACCTAGTCCATTCATTGGAAAGTGCGTAATAGAGCAATGACCATCTGTTCCTGGAACACTGCTTTCAGCTTCCATCAACGAGTGCTGCATGGCGAAAAAGTCTTCAGGCGTTAGCCTTGTACTCTGGAAGTTGCGCACATATTGGTCTTTTTTGGTATGTATCAACGCTTTGGAGCAGTTCGTAGGTGTTTTGTATTATTGACGACGTAGGCTTTCGTACGGAGCAACCCAATTATCAGGAAGGAAGATAACCCCTGCATGTCAATGCTGTGCGCTTTGTAGGGTAACCCCACGCTATCCCGAGTGTCTCTCAAGAATTTTTGACAGATAAAAAGTCCATTTTTTGCCACTTCTTGTTTGTTTCATTGCCAAATATGTGACGCATCCTGGACAGGTCCGTCGTCACCGGCAGCAGAAAGAAAACGACAATATCCTTCAATGGATTTTCTGGAGTAAAGTTCAGACTCAGAACCACCGGCGGTGGATGATGCCCCGGCTACAGGAAGGGTAGCGGCAAAAAAATACACCACGGTGCAGCGTAATGGGTCGACCGAACCTGAAAGGCGTGCCCGAACACCACACGAGTTTCCATCTCTCGTGCATGCCACCAGATTTGTGAGTAGGAAAACCACCAAACAGTTGTAAATACGGCCCGCGCATTAATAGAATACTCTACCATATCATTTTTCCGGTCTGGGGAAAACCGGGTCAGTAAGACAGCCCAATCCATTCGGATAGGTAAACGGCAAACGGACTTTCCTTTACCAACAGAAACTCAGCTTCCACGGATGTAAAACATTTGAAGCAACCACAAGACCACAGGTCTTACATTCATTCGATCTCTTGCCGTCACATGCGTTGAACACATGCCCACCTGAAAATGGAGCCGCTGATTTTACCCGGCCAAAATATACACAACAGCTCGAGGGAATAAACAGTCGCCCGTTTCTAATGTGATAAGTTCCACCTTAACAACCCACACTAGCTATTTCGGTGCCTGTTGTCCGTACAATGCTGTCAGCTGCAAAATCTTTTTAAGTGGAGCAAAAGGTTTTACGCCAAAATGTTACATTTTGTTTCGTGTGTGCTCATACCGAAATCCACATTTTGTTGCGTGTGTGCTCATACCGAAAACAGTTTTAATACACATTCATATTTTTGCAGGTCACCAAGCTCCATGGTTCACTGAGACAAACATGGTCTGGCTGAAAAGTCCTAGTAGATGATTGCCCAGTATCGCTAAGACCCCGGAATACCTAAATTTGGCTTAAAAATTTAGACTGATACTCTCAATTTAATATCTTGCTTCAGTCCATTAGGGACACGTCATATCTTTCGAAAATTCAACTCCATTGTGCGAGTAGTGAGCTCCGGTTATTGCCAAACCCCTGACAGAAGTGTTCAAGGTCGTTCGCTTCCTGAAAGTATCATCACAATCAATTCTGCTCTGTCCACTTTTTCACTATGACGTTTTCACCCAGCCGACTATCCTAACATTCAACTTTCCAAAATTTACCTATATAATGGGTGTACGCCCCCGACGTCATATCTGAGTTGAGTCTCAATTATTCGTTCTTGGTGATATGTAGCTTGTCCTATAAACTACTACGTATCGTTGCAAGATATTTTCATTGGTAAAGTGCTATGCGCTATTTGGCTGACAGTATTATTCCTCATGATCATATAATATCTGGTTATCCAAAATTTATGCTTGTGTTATAATTCATCTCCACTGGCCATCGGAAACTTGGTATTCGGCAGGCCCGAGAAATGTTTCAAGCCTTCACGAATGTCGTTGAAAATGCCGCCTTCCATCTACTTTCTCCTAAGCAAGTGGAGGTGATAAAATGTTGGAAACAATAAGATAAGATAAATGAACGTATGGAACAAGCGACAGAAGTTTCAACGACAGAGCCAGAAAATGAAGCCTAACGCTGCTCCTGATCATGTTACCCGTATGTATTATCGCACTCTTTGACTAGTAACTGCTTGGCCCTTACCTATACCTTTAACTGTGTGTGATAGCCCAGCTAACGGCAAACGGCGGCACTTCTCGCCTCCTGATCATGTTACCCGTATGTATTATCTCACTCTTTGACTAGTAATTGCTTGGCCCTTACCTATACCTTCAACTGTGTGTGATAGCCTAGCCAACGGCAAACGGCGGCACTTCTCGTTCATTACAGCGTTTGTTGTCGCTCCGCCACGCCCGCGCTTGAAAATTATAAAACCCACCATTGAAAAAACGTTTTCATTTTTATAGTGGGCTACAACAATGATAAACAGTGGACACTCCGCTTCGTTTTTCATAGACCAGCTTCACTTGATGAATCTGTAATGAAAAGCGTATATTCTGTTTGCTTTTGTTAATATCCCTGGAAATTTTTCCAGACGTCCTACTGTTGTGAGGGCACTCCTACTACGTTTTCCTTTGACAAAAATGTCGAAACTGAAGGGTCTGTTTGTGCACTGATGTTGGACCAAGCGGAATTATTAATAGAGTTTATACAGGACAGTCACAGGACAAAGTGGTATATATATTTATCCCCGAACTCATAAGATTCACGAGGTTTCAATCGTGGACTCATGAATTTAGCCGTAGTGAGGACATAATGACTAGAAAGTAACTAGTGTCATACTCGCCGCTTTAGAGCACTAACTTCGCCCTTCTTCTGCCTTCTAGAACCTATACTGTGTAGCTCAATAAAACCACCAGCTCCGTTATTCTTATAAATTGTAACCGCTCTATTGTTAACCGCCTTAGCATTTTCATCAGCCAGGGGCACTACTCATGGGCACCAAACTTCAACTCTTGTACTTAGACTTGTAAGCCGACCGTCGTGTGGTTGAGTTACAGGATATTGCTAAAAAGGGTTCCGCATTTTGGGAACATCTAACAGGTTGAAGACCGCTGGCTATTTCATGCTACTTTAGGACTCTTTTCCGTGGCTGTCATATGCCTTTGGACCTCCATGACTCGCTCTTCTTGCCAAAGGTTGCTACCCATCTCCCATTCCATGCCCCACACCGAGTGAAAGGAACAGAGCGGTGGTTAACCCTTGAACTTCCAGAGGAATATGAAAGAGATTACGAGAAGCCGTCGTCGCCATTGGTCTTTAAGGATGACAGTTGCGTGATCCTCAGTGAGCCCGATTAAAAACGTTACACAATATCGTCTCACATCGAGATCGGTGGAGTACTAGTTATCAGTTTCTATCCCGATTGCCAGAATGGGATTCTGGAGATGCATGCACCTGAGAATGTTTGGAGCAAGCTAGAGGCAGGTCCCTAGCACGTCCACTTTCATGTTCTTCTAAATACGGCGTTCATATAAATCATAATTGTACGACGGCAAAGCGACAGTGTTGAACACCAGTGCCCTGCTCTCCGTGATGTCGCCGAAAGGGGTGTTGTAGCTGAGTGACTGGTTCCGATTTTGTGAGTGGGCAGCTTCTGCGTTTTTTACCTTGTTTTTTTGTTGACAGTCTTCTTCTGGCCAGTTGATGGAATCAGCTGGAATATGTAGTGGATGTATCTCGCAGCAAATGCCTTCTTCATTTCTTGGGCCTTCGCATTCCATCAGTTTTCTTTTGTTCTCCAGGTTCTTAATTATCTATTGTTTAAGGGGTCTGTGTGCATCATGGTAGTTGGCAATTTAAGATGCGGCAGCAATAATGTCTGCTGATCTCGACTACAACCAGCGTCCACGTAGCTTAGTCCGGTGACTTGAACAGACAGTTTTGAGTCGAAGGCATACCTGGATTAACTTTCATACACTAAATCTCAGACCAGTCCTCGTCGTCGACCTTTTGTGTATTTCATAGTAACCCTGTATTAACAGAGATGAAAAGCAAGGATTCAGTATGTCTGTTTCCATACTTGGCACAGAGTACGGACATTGAAGCCTGCAACATGGATCAGATCCCTGGAGTTTAGCAAGGGCTTATTAGTTCCCCAATGAACAATTGTTAGATGACTCTAGATGGGTAGGCCGCGGTGCATCATCCAATGGGCCAGGAATGGATGTGGCTGAGGGCCGATGCGCAAAAAGCTGCAAGGGTAGGTAACGCTTCAGGGCTAACCAGACATAGGTCTAGGGTTTGGTTTCCTAAATTGATCCTTTGGTCTAACAGTACGATCCTCAAGGCAGTGGAATCATGCAGTGTTTATTTCCCGTAGCCTCCCACTCAAAAAGTCTATACTTCAAGGCAGCGGCTGTTGGCGTTTCCTTGTGGATCACTTCTATGAGCCATCGGATTAATCAGCTGACCAACACGGCTGCAGGGGACCGGTGTGGCCATGGGAGGCGAGAAGTAAGGCACTGCTGTATTCCAACCCATGTAACTGCCCGCAACAGGCACCTCTTGAGAAGCTTCAGACTCTGATTTCAAAAGTATTTCGACCGGCGGTCATGGTCAAGCTTTGAGCAATCAAGGTGAGCAGCTTTTGGAACCAAACGTTTCTAGCTCGTCCTTCCTCAAAAAAGGGATTATCACCGCTCTCACAAGTATGGACGTGCTTTTCGCCTTATTGCCTTCACACTCCCGTAAAATAGGACAGTATGATTTTACCTCCAACCACCTTGTCATCAAACCTTTAGCGGTACGGGACTCGTCGTTCTAAGCCGGGTAGCTTCACTTGGTCCCCCTGGCATGGTTGAACTTTGAACAACTGATTCCCAACCAATGGGTCCGCAGTTTGAACTTTGAACAACTGATTCCCAACCAATGTGGTCCGCAGTAACAATTTCACAATAAACGCGGGCCAATAAGACAACGCTATGGCTTTGGCATTGTCTGACACCTGCTGTCCCCGAAGAGACGAAACGATTCGCGGCTGAGAATTCCCGTTTCAGCCACTCTCCTCCCAAATCTTCCACCACTATTCAATTAATCTCTACTATTTTCAGACCGAAAGCGTACGTGTGCTCACACGACCATCTCAATCAGCTGAGTTTTTGCCAGAACATCAAAGTGCTTGCTTTCCTAATGTACAGTCATGTATTGGTGTCATAAACCCACTAGTTCAGGCATCAGGACTTAGTATAGCGGCAAAACGTGCTGACTGTCAGAAAAATCCACCAAACGTGCCAGCTGCGAAAGTTTCTTGGCGTTGTTTCGAAAGATGCTCTCGGCATCCGATGGATCTTTCTCATAATAGGCGGCCGATGGTAGCTCCAGTTTTAGTGTGCGCGGGAAAGACATGACTATTTTTCATGCACTATTTCAAATTATTTCCGAATATAAGTGTAGAAATGAAATTCTCCACAAAATGCCTCATTGACAAAAGAGCGGTGTCACGGCGAGCCATGTGCACACACGCATGGAAGCAACGTGGGATAAGGGATCCCTGAAGCTGATTTGCTCACGGAAATGTCGGTGAGCGGAAAAAAGACATAAATCTTGGCCTTGGCCAAGTAAACAAGGTTGTACATGACCAATGGTAATACATAGATCACCTTATGCTACACGTGAAAGCCGCTGAAAGTATGATTTATAGCATAAAGTAAGGCTTGAAAAAACTGTTACTGCTTGAGGAGATCTCAAGTTTTAAAATAAGTAGGTTATTGGTATAACCTTGTGTACAAGGTTCTTTCGTTTAGACTTTGGTTCAACCGTTGTTTCAGCAGTGATTAGAATCATCGGACAGTGGGAAAGAACTCCGTAGCCTCAGCCTAGCAGGTACTTTACAGCATTATTTCACGTACAGTGACTGAGCATTGGGAGGGACAAAATCCAGAGAATCAAGCCGGGCTTGTCCCGGCGGAGAATTAATCCACCATATTTCGATGATCGGACAGATCCCTAGATAGTGCCGACCCGTTAAATTGCCGTCGCTGAACCTTTTTCCTTCATCAGAGAACGGCTTTCGACTGCGCCGATCATCCGAAATTATTGTTTAGTAGCCAAAGAAGTCCCTCCTTGATTCATATGCTTCATCACATTATAGTCAACAACAACGGATGGAGACGACCGGGAGACGGTTGGTTCTTGAATTAGGAACGAAAGATGAAAGTCATTATCAGTCAGTTCATCAGAGCAAGTAGCTGCCGCTCCGAGGATGAGCGCCGCGGGATGGGACAAACAAATGATTAGTGACTCCTGCGGACACGGTCATGCCACGTGGCCCACGGCGGTCGTTTGTCGTCAAAGTGCAGATCGTGTCATCACCTCCAACATTTGGCTTGAAGTGTTTAATTCTTCTGTAGCTGTAGCAGCTGGAGCTACCAGACTTCGGTGCACGGTTCATGAATTTGGAAACTGAACAGTGCACTACTGATCTAATCAGCAACAGCACCGCATCAGTGTAGAATAACCCTTTTTGGAAGAAGTTTAAGTATCCCAGAGGTCACCAGTCCTGCACGATGCCTTGCGTAAGTGCTCTATGCGGATTTCTGTGGATGCATACAGGTGTACAGCAAGTTTTTGTTGGAGTTCACAAAGTCCAGCGGCGTGAGACAAACCCCTCCCCCACCCTTTCCGTTCAACTTTTTTTATTGAATGTTGATTGAAACTCTATTGCCTTCTTCTGAAACATCACGGATCGGAACGGTAGTAGGACAGACATTGAGTAAGCTGACAATAATACCTTGCCTCGGATCATTGAAAATGCAGGTTATTTGGATAACTAGTGTAAAGATGCCTCGCGTGTCAGGATCAACTTCTCAAATGAAACTTCGAAAATACAGCTACAGTGTTGGGTGTTCGTTGACCCAGTTTTTATGGTGAAAGGTCTGTCCCCCGGTAACTCAGTGTTAAGGCGTTAACTGGTAAACTGAGTCGGTTTGATAGCTGCCGTCTGCCTGGATGGCGACCCAAGGACTCAACTGACTAACAAATACTGGCGATGACAGACTTTTTCCACCACGCAGCTGGTGACGCTCCTGTTCCAGCACTACCGATTTCAGTGCGTAGCTTCCCAGTTTTTTGTTGCTTCAGACTCAAAAACTGATTCAACATCAACTAACTGAATATGCCGTCGCCTCTAACGCGTGGCTGTAGATACTTTGTCCCACGTTTTGTTGCCCAAAACTGCACCAGGTGGAAGAAACATACATTTGTTACATGGTTTATGGCCGATAAGCTTAAACAAACTGCCATGGTTCCTGTTGTTAAGTTATTGCAAATCTATCAGAAGCCTTCTGAAGCCTTGGCGTACGTCTGCTACCCATTTGTTTTTCTGGGCTGTTCATGAATTTTTATTTTTAAAAACGCTTTTGGGAATTTGAACGTGTTATTTCCAGAAAACGTTTCATGATTTTACTAAGTATGAACAGCTCCTAACAGTGAGTCCAATGAACTTTCACTATACACACGGCTTTAAGTTGAAGACATTGGTGGATGTAGTTTATGTTAAGTTTAGGGTTCCAGAAGTTAGGGGGTCGCTGTCCGACGATGGGGTCAAAAACCAAACATGGCTGCACGTACACACTGGGACTATATGTGATCTGTGTTAATTCGGCTTGGTAGTCGATAGACCTTAAAAAAATACTCCCTTCTTGAAGTGGTTTTGCTTAAACCCCCCCGAACGCCGGTCTCTTGATGTTTCTGCGGTATCGATCACGTCCATATCGTCTGAGAGGGGCCTCTATAAATCGTTGAAGAGGATTGATGGACGAAATGTATACCAGCACAGCGCCTGGGACCAACTTAATCGTTAGGCAAATTAGACATCACCGACACCCACAAACGAGTAAGTCGAATAGAAGCAAGAGGCTGACGCAAAATCTGCTTTGGTGTTATCCCTCTTTGCTCGTCGGCGGAGAATGTTTGGGGCGGTGGAATTTGTGTTTCGCCAAGCCATAGTAACAATAGATAAGGTAGAATATGTAGGGCATTGGCTTAGATAGTCGAGGCAGCTGCGGTGTATGAAGACCAGTATCTGGTGATACCCAGGATAAGTCTCACTGAGTTTGGGTACTCCCAGCGTTTACAGCAGATGTAATGGTGATTATACGCTGCAATCTGAGTCCTGTGGCAACGAGAAATGTAGTGCAAATCACTGCATTACCAGCCTATAAACCAGCAGCGTACGTGGATAGTGCATTCTGTGGTGCTGTTAGGCTTTGGCTGTCCCGCCAGCAGTGTATATCCACTCCGTTATGCGAGATCCCGATGAGTCCTATATGTGAGTAGTCGAAAAGCGGCGTATTTTTTACAGAAACTGAAAAGGTTTGCGGCCAACCGGCAGATGACTTCAAAGGACCCACATGAGTTGCACAACATTTGCCTAACGGCTAGTGCAATTCGTCAATTTTGGGACTCTAGCAACTGTTGAGTCAGGTAGAAAGTAGGTGCCGGAGGCGAGGTTACGACGTGGCGGTGTTTCACCGCCTTTTTCTGAATACTTTAGGAGGTAAGTTGAGAGTTCTGTTTCTCTAAGCGAGTAATCATGAGGCTGATTCTGTTGCTGGGACCTGACGGGCATTCAGGACAAGGCATAGATACGTTGGATGGGTTTTGAATTGAAAGGAATACTTTTGCGGTTGGTGACACTTTCAGCAACACTTCAGCGCCGCACTTTGGATGAAGATGCTTCGACTTTATGCAAACTTGTCAAGCCCTTGACAAAAACTTACTTAGGAAGACATACTACTTCCTAGAAAATGCTGCTATAGCCGCTATTCTGTTTGTTTGTACCCCGCATTACAAAGACAAAGGCATATATGACACATTTGATACTCGCACCAGTTCCAATAGGGCATGACTGACCGACACTGGTCTAATGTTTCTATAAAACAGCTTTAAACGCTATATCAGATTGTATTTTTTGAAGTATGGATCAAGTGATCTTTCGTAAAAAACGATAAATTGTCTAAAGACTTGTACTGAAAAGTCTGAAATGAAACCAGATACGGAGAGTTTTCGTTATTTGACTGGCCAGGATGTACCAACTAAAACCGAAAGAAGTCAGGATGCCTTTATTACACGATGGCCACTGGCCGCACAATGCTCTCAGCTGCAAAGCCTCTGCGAATGGGATGAAACACTTGCACCAAAATGTTGGATTCCGTTGCAAATATGGTCAAACCAAAAACCATCCCAACCCACCTTCATATTTTCCCTGCCCACCCAATTTTATTGTCCACTGAAGCAATCATACTTCTGGCTGAAAATGTATAACATCTCTGAGACCCCAGGGTGCCTGGAGGCGGCGCCAAATTTCGGACTGGTGCTCTGAACTCAATTGTTTGGTTCATGAGGGATATGAGGTAACGTTCGGAAATTCAATTTGATTGTGCGATTACTGAGCTCATTTTACACACTTCTTGTAATTCTAGGTCAAACAACGTATCGCTTTAAAAACCGGTACCACAAGACACATTGCACTTACTTTGGTTATAAACGTGCAGACGGTGGCAACTGGGGAATTCACGAGCTCTTTGAGTCAGATTCGCGAAGTGCGAAGGGAGGAAAGATCTGAAGTTTGGAAGCACGATGCGCTTTTGAATCGTGGAAGGATAGATCAGATACCAAAGCTGAAATCTTTCAATCACAATCCGTTGAAACTTGTGAGAATGGGGATCATGCATGCACGCAAGGGGCGTTTTTTGGCCCGTAGCGCTCCTCGTGTTTAATATAATAGGTCTTATGCCAGCGGCTGGAAGGAGAGAAATAGCGCCGNTGAAACATGGCAGCAAAAGCATGAGAGTTCTGTTTCTCTAAGCGAGTAATCATGAGGCTGATTCTGTTGCTGGGACCTGACGGGCATTCAGGACAAGGCATAGATACGTTGGATGGGTTTTGAATTGAAAGGAATACTTTTGCGGTTGGTGACACTTTCAGCAACACTTCAGCGCCGCACTTTGGATGAAGATGCTTCGACTTTATGCAAACTTGTCAAGCCCTTGACAAAAACTTACTTAGGAAGACATACTACTTCCTAGAAAATGCTGCTATAGCCGCTATTCTGTTTGTTTGTACCCCGCATTACAAAGACAAAGGCATATATGACACATTTGATACTCGCACCAGTTCCAATAGGGCATGACTGACCGACACTGGTCTAATGTTTCTATAAAACAGCTTTAAACGTTATATCAGATTGTATTTTTTGAAGTATGGATCAAGTGATCTTTCGTAAAAAACGATAAATTGTCTAAAGACTTGTACTGAAAAGTCTGAAATGAAACCAGATACGGAGAGTTTTCCTTATTTGACTGGCCACGATGTACCAACTAAAACCGACCGAAGTCAGGATGCCTTTATTACACGATGGCCACTGGCCGCACAATGCTCTCAGCTGCAAAGCCTCTGCGAATGGGATGAAACACTTGCACCAAAATGTTGGATTCCGTTGCAAATATGGTCAAACCAAAAACCATCCCAACCCACCTTCATATTTTCCCTGCCCACCCAATTTTATTGTCCACTGAAGCAATCATACATCTGGCTGAAAAAGTATAACATCTCTGAGACCCCAGGGTGCCTGGAGGCGGCGCCAAATTTCGGACTGGTGCTCTGAACTCAATTGTTTGGTTCATGAGGGATATGAGGTAACGTTCGGAAATTCAATTTGATTGTGCGAATACTGAGCTCATTTTACACACTTCTTGTAATTCTAGGTCAAACAACGTATCGCTTTAAAAACCGGTACCACAAGACACATTGCACTTACTTTGGTTATAAACGTGCAGACGGTGGCAACTGGGGAATTCACGAGCTCTTTGAGTCAGATTCGCGAAGTGCGAAGGGAGGAAAGATCTGAAGTTTGGAAGCACGATGCGCTTTTGGATCGTGGAAGGATAGATCAGATACCAAAGCTGAAATCTTTCAATCACGATCCGTTGAAACTTGTGAGAATGGGGATCATGCATGCACGCAAGGGGCGTTTTTTGGCCCGTAGCGCTCCTCGTGTTTAATATAATAGGTCTTATGCCAGCGGCTGGAAGGAGAGAAATAGCACCGATTTAGGATTTAATACAGATCTGCCTTTAACCGCAAAACTGCGGCGACAATTCAGTGAAAGACAGTTATTTTGAGCAAAAGAACACGTTGGAGCGCCAGCTGTCAAAAATCGACCCTAGAATGCTTCCCAGTTAGCACCGTTGGAGAAATTTCTGCAGAACGTCTGCAACTGAGTGCGGACATTTCCGCGCAGTTTCCGCAGACTTGTGCACCCGGGTGCGGAACCAGTGCGGAAATGGAACAAGTTTCCGCACCCAGTCTGCACCCGGCTGCGGAAATAGTACAGACGTTTGCGCATCCGGGTGCGCAAAATCTGTACTCAGTACCGGGATTTCTGCACCCATTCCGCACTTAGCTAAAGTCGTCCGACGCGCGAATATAGCTCATTATACGGATTTATCTCTTCCCCCAGTACGATTCAGTAACATCCTAAACACCAAGTGATAACCCACCTGCCCCCACATAATTTCTCAGCGTATTACCTTTCCGGATATCAATAAGCGCCTTCAAGTACAAATATTTTAATGAATGAATTTTAAAAAATACAGGGGAAGATCATTTGTCACTCCTAGTGGCTCTCTGCAGGCGTTTCCGAACTTTCTGCCGTTCGTTCTCCAGCCAGCGATGAAGCCAGCGGCGGGAAGGAGAGAAATAGCGCCGATTTAGGATTTAATACAGATCTGTCTTTAACCGCAAAATCCAGACATTGATTCAACTGGCTAAATATAGAATAACAATTAACTACTTACAAAAGTCCTTGGGTCAGCCTGGTTGACCTGAGAGCTTCTTTTTCATTTATTCCGAGCCAGTTGAACGTCTGCAACTGAGTGCGGACATTTCCGCGCAGTTTCCGCAGACTTGTGCACCCGGGTGCGGAACCAGTGCGGAAATGGAACAAGTTTCCGCACCCAGTCTGCACCCGGCTGCGGAAATAGTACAGACGTTTGCGCATCCGGGTGCGCAAAATCTGTACTCAGTACCGGGATTTCTGCACCCATAGACACATTGCACTTACTTTGGTTATAAACGTGCAGACGGCGGCAACTGGGTAATTCACGAGCTCTCTGAGTCAGATTCGCGAAGTGCGAAGGGAGGAAAGATCTGAAGTTTGGAAGCACGATGCGCTTTTGGATCGTGGAAGGATAGATCAGATACCAAAGCTGAAATCTTTCAATCACGATCCGTTGAAACTTGTGAGAATGGGGATCATGCATGCACGCAAGGGGCGTTTTTTGGCCCGTAGCGCTCCTCGTGTTTAATATAATAGGTCTTATGCCAGCGGCTGGAAGGAGAGAAATAGCGCCGATTTAGGATTTAATACAGATCTGTCTTTAACCGCAAAATCCAGACATTGATTCAACTGGCTAAATATAGAATAACAATTAACTACTTACAAAAGTCCTTGGGTCAGCCTGGTTGACCTGAGAGCTTCTTTTTCATTTATTCCGAGCCAGTTGAGTAGTACGGCTAACCTTGGTGCCAACGTCCGCGTAAGCACGTTGGTCACGTACACTTGTACATCGCCAGCCTCCTGCAAGTACCACCTCTCCACCTTTGTGAAATCAACAACCGTGACTACAACTAATACTTACCAGCTGTGCATAGCGTGGACCATCTCTTAAATGTTCTTCATAATTTCGGAGAAAGCGGATGAAAGCGGAAGAGGGGGCTCGTTGAGTGCTTCAGAACTGCTGGTGGGTACTAAAGCGTTTAGCTTCATGTGCAGTCTTTGGAGCGACTAGTAAATCCCCCCAAAATTTCCTATGAAAAAGTTTAATTAAAACATGGTAATCTACTCACCGCAGTGGTGAATGTCTTTCTTTCCTGATAACAGGGATCAAGGAAACCGCCGGCGAACATCGTGGTAGATCGCAGCCTAGTTTATCACCCGGAACGATCAAATTCGGCATATTTAGAGCCTGTCATCTGATTACTCATGAATCTTACCCTCAGATAGTCGACTAAAAGCATTATGGACGCATTCATCAGTCGGACAACGAAAGCAGCCACTTGCGGCAACCGCCATTCATACTTTCGTATATAGCGTTGTTTTTGAAGAGCCTTTACGAGCAACACGAACAAATTTCGGGCGCATTGACGATTACTTGAAATGAAAAATATTTTTTACGGCTTCATTCATGTAAACACATCTGGAATAAAACATATGAAAGCACAACAAAACTCACTCTCAGCCGCACGGGAGGACAAGCAGAACGCAAAGCTTCCCGCGAGAAATGGCGCCGCACAGTAAAACAAAACCATTTAAATCGGTTGACCGCTTGCATTTACTAGGCACACGGAAATGCAAGGGATTGTGGTTTTTTATTACTGTGAGACAAATAAAGAAGCTCTGATGTCTATTAAACGTCTCAATCCCCCGAGGCTTAAAAGCCGAAAATTAGTGCAGGATTTCTGCACAGATACCGCACAGGTGCTGCACCCACGAGCGGACGCGTGCTAACTGGAAGAATTCTTTCTGTCAGTCCGCGAGTTCCGTCAGGATTACACACATGAAGCATACGGCCAAATTTACAACACTCGAAATATTTTGTTCTTCCGTCATTATGCTCTAGAGTGACGGGGTGCAAGGAAGGGAAATTTTCAAAAATACTTAGATGAGGGAGCAATAACTGAGCCTGACAGCTTAGATGTAAACTTCTTCAGGCGACCTTTATTTGGACATCTGGATTCATGCAAATTTCAAACTGACCAAGCACCGAGAGAGGTAAAAGAGTAAACAAATTTCATGGTATTTGTTGAATTGTCTTGCAAATGTTAAAACGCTTCATTATTCTGTATAACAAGCCTCCTGAAGCTGAAGTAGGTTAATTCCAATAGCCTAGTGCGCGGATAACTTGCCTTATGGTCGTGTACTATAATCACACTCAGATAGATGAGTTTGAAATTCTTGGGGAAAATCAGTTTGAGATCAGCTTTTCATTGGATGAGTGAACCTCATTTAGGTAGTTCATTCAGGACAATGTTGTCGGATTTGGAACGCAGCATTCGACTTTCTGCTTAACAAAATGATAGGTGAAAAAATAAAACCAGGTTTTCCCACCACCCGATAAGCTTCATTTTCGAAAAGTTTGTGGAATAATCCTGTTTCGTGTACAGCTTACAGCCTGCTCCTGATGAAGCGGGAAATATCACAACTTTTTGTTTGAAGCTGTGTATGTTGGTACAGTTAAAACAACAATCACGTCATTAGTCCATTAGCCACGCTATTGATTTCAAGGTGACCGAGTCGCTGACTGAATGGATCACTACCACGGCTCAGGAGGGGAATGGGCTCAAAACATACTGTTTCTATTTTCACACAAGAAGAATTATCAAAATAGGGTTGATTGAACTCAGCTGTTTCGCGTATCCCGTCAGCCATTGAGACATAATCGAAATCAAAGTTGGGGCAGGAAAATGGACAATTAGTTTTGTGAAAAATGCACGTGGGTCAGTGAAAACATTACAGCGGGTAAAAGCCATTGAGCACCAGAGTAGGTTGGATAAAATTTCTAGAACTGGAGGCATGATTAAATTTCATCCTTACCAAGGCTAACAAGGATAGCCCCTAATTCTAGTTGTTTACAGACTGGGTTTGTAGCGCTCAACCGTGGCGGCTACAGCAAATCGAATTTTGTGGTTTTTAATAATTCGCCTGGTTCATGCACTCATAGCAGTCCGGCAAGTGGCGAGTGATTCCGCTGAACGGGACTTTCAGGTTATTAAGTTCTGCGATTTGTGAGACGTGCTTAGAAATCTTTTTCATAACTGTCTCTTTGGTTTCTCTAAGCATTCGTCGTGCATTGGAGATGTGCAGTTCTGTTTCGATCAGGGATTCTACCAATGTATTAGTGGAATGAGAATGGGAAGTCTGATTAGGGATGATTCAGCTGATAATTTTATAGATCACCGGAGGCATGCCCAACTATCTCGGTTTGTACAGAAAGCGCACACCTATGCTTTTGATGTTGGTGGTGCGTTCGTTCTACTGGACGACAATATACAGAGGCCACGGGTGTTGCAATATTTCAATAAATGACACTCAGACATTGAATTCACGGCCAGACATGAAGATAGAGGATCTTTTCACTTCTTAGATGTCCAGGTGATAAGAAAGAATGATGCATTACCCGTCGGAACATTTCTTCACATCCTGGAGAGAAAATTATTCAAAATCCAATAGCTTTTATTCAACTAAGTATAAACGAATCTTGTTGAAGGGTCTCTACAAAGCCAGAAAATTTACACTGATAAGCCTAAAGAAACCATATCGAGAACAACTCGGCCGCACTACAGGAACACGGCTATCCCAGTAACCTCATTTGGAAGTACTGCAAAATTGCTGCACTTGAATAGAAACTAGAAGTTGTCTCCAATTAAGTAGTTTTCCTCAAGTAAATATTGAATAGGGACCACGGTGGTGGGCTTGTGTGATGACGAGTGAGTAAAACTCTTACAAAGTATTCAACTCTTCCTTGCTTTACAACCACTAAAAGTACGACGAATACTAATATAAACCAACCCAGTGGAGCATGGCTCTTTGGTAAGACTCTCTGTATATACCTTTTACAATGTAATTGCTCTAGTGAAAAGGCTAGAGGAGCCAAGAGAGAGTTGTCAACAGTACCCGTCCTGAATAGGGTAATTTTTGTTCAGGTCAATCAGTCTCCTCTCGCTCGATCGCAACGAATGCAAGGAACAAAGAAATCTCAGACGTGGTACACCACTCTTAAGATTGCTGCAAACTCTTCGACAACCCACGACTTGTCTCAGGATTTCCATTCTACTTGAACATTCAGTTGCTTTAGAACATCATAAACGAGGGACTCAGCTGGGCTCCAGATGAATCTAATGTCAGAACCGGCTTTATTATGCAGATAGGTATATAACCAGGAGAGTTGTTCAAAGACAGGTTGTTGAATATAAATCGTTTTTTGCGCTTTGCTAAACGACATGGTTCGACTCAACATACTGGAACCTGTGACATGCTCTGCCTCACCTTGGTAAGACCAAGTTTGAATCATGTCTACATCTTTAGTGCTTTTATCCAACCTATGCCGGCGTCTGATGAGCTTTGGTCAATATAATGTTTTCACTAACCCACGTGTCGTTTTCACGAAATCATCGCTTCGTTGTCCTACCCTTACTTTGGCGAGAGAAGCGATGTGTTCTTTTAGGGCGGTTTTTGCAGTTCAGCTTGAGAGAATACAAAAATAACAGCAGCAGGATTTGCAATTTTCAACTGATATCTAATCACGATCATTGCTGCTAAACTTCAGCCAAAATGTGCGATAAAAATTTGAAAGAAATGGAATTACAAAACCAGCCTTTTCCTGAAGAAAGCAGAAAGATCAATCTTTGTCCAAGGGTATTTATTTCCGTTATCTCATGGTTGTTGGTCCTTTTTTGCCTAGTGGGTAAAGCCAGCAGTTTTCAGAGCTTTGAGAAACATGGATTCACACTTTGAAAAAACTTGTGAACTTAGATTAGGTACCGTTTTGCTACTTTAAAATTTTTCCATGTAGCCCAAAGTGGATTTTGATCCATGAGAACTAATGGAGGAACTCGGTGTAGACTGGGGTCATTCACTGATTTCTTGAGACCAAAGCTGTTTATTGGTAAATGCATGAGTCCTAGTTAATGACTCGCCTGGAGAGCAGTACCTTCATCAATGGGCTATTTATGTTCATTTGGAGAGATGGTGCCATCTCTATTGACGGGAACTACACAATATCACAACAGTTGACGAGATTTCGGCTTTCCGAAGTCACACATTTCGGCTGGCAATTGCAACGATTGTCTGTAGGTCATATGCATCGAGCAGCGAGTAGCATTTTATTTTGGAGAAGGTTATTGCCAACTCTTAGTCAAATAAGTACCTAATCAATACTCCGCCAGTGTCCAAGTTGAGAACGCAAATTATGAATAATATAGTCGATATTGTCATGGAGAGCAC